TGCCCCTTCTCTGTTGTATAACAGCTTTGGAAGTATCCTGCATTTAGCCCAAACCAGGTGAAAAAGTCTGGCTAATTCAGGTTTATGACAACCACTAGGATAACTCTTACAAAAAAGATGGAATCTTTAATGCAGGTTCTACCAACTCCTGTTGTGGAAATTGAAAAGTTCATATTAATCTAGAAAAAGGCTGAATTTGACCAATTCCCCATCAGAAAAAAATATAGTAAGAAATATGGAAAGCATTCTTTAGGCCTGTAGACCATCAGATGTATTGCTGTTTAGTGGCAGCATAATGGATCAGTGGCATACATGTGTTCCTTTCCTGCTGTGACACGTCAAAGGGTTCTCAGGAAAAGAAGTCTGGTCTTTCTTATATGCAAGTTGCATAACCTGCTCATGCCTGAAGCAGCACCATTCAGAACGATTAATTAAAGTCCTCACACCTGAGCTTCCCCGAAACAAACTCTTAACAGCAATAATTCCACAGCTATTTGAATTTCAGGATCACTTAACGGTACTCTCAGCCCTGTGGTAGGCTGTGTGCAAAATAACTTTTACTGGTAGGAAACCCTTTTGCAAGGCCTGAGGAAGTATCTGAGAACATTCCACTGGAGTAAATCCAGCAGAGAATTCAACACTCCAGGGGGGAGCTTCCCTCCCTCTGCCTGGACAATACCAGCATAGAATGTCACCTGATGCAGATCCAGCTTTGAAACTTGGGAAGACGATGAATTATGAGTGAATTATGAGTGTCTATGTGATGGTGCTGGAGTAAATTTAGTTGTTACATACCCCGTTAACATGTATTTTCCTATGAGACTGGCCATAAATCAAATATCAAACCAGATTATTCAGGACTGGTCTTTTGTGTTTCAAAGACTTCCACACATGGAGATTTTAACCACTGACCTTCCAATCGGTGGGCAACTGCTCTTTCCTCTTTCCACAGCCGCCCCCTGAAATCTGAAGACACTGGCTCTTGAATTAGATTTTTTTAAGTGAAAATTTGTAAGAAGGAACATAGAGTCTGGACATTTAAAAGATCATCAAATTCAGCCTTTTTCATAAATATACATTTTAAGTCATCCATCCATCCATTCATCCATTTTCGGAACCGCTAATTCCCAAATGGGGTCACGAAAGAAATTTTAAGTCGCTGTTTAAGTATTTGTCTTTGAATGCTTTCTTATTGTACATATATGCTAGTGTGGACGCTCATCCACATGTGGAAAACATGGAGAGGAGTGGTGGGAGCCAGTACACAGCAGAGGGGCCCGGAATGTGCTCACTCTAATCCTAGTCAGGGACAGAAGATATTTTAGTAGATCTCCACTGGTCCACATGAGTAGCGCTGATGTCTGGTGTTCACACAAAACCCCGGAACTAGATAAAGAGATACTGGTGGCTGTTTTTTTTGCGCAGACTTTCACACTGGTGAGAGGAACTCAACTAGATAATCAACAACAATGCCAGCAAAGGCAGCTTCAGCCCTTCCTCTGCCAATGGTATGCTAAGACATCACAAAATATCAAGAGCAGATTGTCAAACCATGCGGAAAAGGGCTGAAAGTCATCTGGTGGAAGATGAGTAGCGTTTCACAAACTCTATAGAGATGTCAAATGAAACATTCAAATCAATCACAGGGGACAAAAATTTTCCATCTGCTTTCATTGTGGACACATATTCGTCAATAGAACCAGTATCCCCAGATATTAAAATGGCTGCCACTGTTCAGTCACACAGTCTCCACATGACACCTTGCAAATGTTTTTATGTGAAACGACAAAAATATGTTTCTCAAAATCCCACCAAATTTGTGTGGAGTATTCTGTTTAATGTGAAAACACTTTTTTTCATTTCAAAGTATCCCATATTTCTACAGTGAAACACTGAAAGGTGTCCCTTTGAATAGAAATAGGTGATGACCTCTGACTTGAGGAGCTGATGGGAACCGCCTGTTGAAAAGTCCAGGGCGACACAGCGTGCGCTAAACCGGGCAGACAGCTGACTCAGCACCTCCTGTGTTGTCTATGTGCTCACTCAACAGTGTCGTTATCACCGGCGACAGATTACTGCCTCAGGGCCCAAGCACCCCTCACAGTCCTCTGGAAACTCTCCACCCTGCAACGGCCCTGCCCTCTTGCAGACGCCCCTGATCCTGATTCCGGTCAGCCCATTCCCTCTCTCCGGCTTCCTCAAAGTAAAACCACAACTGTGAGCGTCAAACTAACAGTGCTTCAGTACAGCAGACATGTTTAAGTTCCAAATACAGGGGCTAGCACAGGTGTAGGCTGAAAACAAGGATCCACCTTGGTTATTGTGTGTTTACTTCCTGATAGGTCATAGCTCCACCCACACATTGTACAGTGCGCTGAACTCAGTAACATGCAGTTTGTTCACACTGGTTGTACTTCCCCATATTTTTTCTATGAATGGGGCTGTAATATTTTTCTATTTAAAAATGTTTTTATGCTTATGCTTTCTATTGAAGTGAAAGAATACAGAATCAAGTGTAAAACAATGATATCATAGATCATTCAGTTGATCTCCCACAGTGTGTGAAAGCCTTTACTGCATGGAGGGGGGGGGGATTAGGGTTACTGTTTTCTGGCTAAAAGTTAAGTATAAGCAAATGAATATAGAATGATAACCACTTAACAAAGATTGAAATAGCATCTTTCCTGCAGAAGTTGGAAGATCTAGCTCAACAGATAAATGCATCATATTTAACGTAGTATCAGTTGCAAATTACCTGAAATTTTCAACATGGATTACGGTTCTGCTTCAGCTCTGTCCCCTTTACTCAAGTTAAACTCAGACCTCAGGATGCTGTTAAAGTGTATGTTCATAAGCAATATTATTGCCGGAGTGTTCCTGACCATGTTTTCCAACACTGCAACTGTATTCAATGTAATTTATAATAGACGATATAATAGACATAGAGTATTGTTCATTCGCCTTTATCCTGACTTGTTTTGTCACCACACAACCAAGAGCCATGGCTTCTATTAACAAATTCAGACCTATGGAAAGAGACAGGAAAGTGGTCTTAGAGAGGGGGGATTTCTCTTGAGGGTAAGGTCAGAGGTCGGGTATCAAACACAAGCCTGCTTCAATGAAGACCTTGAGCCTCTGTAAATGGAGCAATCTTCTCTCTCTCTCTCTCTCTCTCTCTCTCTCTCTCTCTCTCTCTCTCTCCTAACTTATGTTGAGTAACCATGAGTCACTTGCATGACATGAGGGCGTTGTGATATCCCGATTATCATTATAATGGCCCTTTCATGAGATTTGTTCCCTCTGGTATTTCAATTAACTGAATTGCCTTCTTTTATAAACCTACAGTCCAATTAAACTACTTAAGCAACGATGAAATGTGTGACTTAGGAGCTCGTGAGCGCCTGTACTACCCAGACAACCTTCGTCACAGCATGGGGCCACACTTACTCAGCGCAACGCAAGCACAGACTCGTCCACAAGAAGCCAAAAGCATGGGCTGATTGCTCTGTTCCCTTGTAGGCCCATGAATGCAGCAAACTTGCATTCCTGCACCTGCCCCGGGCGTACACTGTTCATGTCTGTACCCAGGCAGAGAGACAAAAAGCGAGAGAAAGAAGGATTCAAAGAAGGAGAGATTGAAAAGCATAGGGAAAATGGCTTGCATAGTGAGCTAGAGAGAGACACCTGCATACCAGAGGGGCAGACAACACAAATCTTCACTTCACACACATTCTCTGTGAAGCTTTATTGTTCCCAGAGGGAGAGAATGGGTGCAGATGATTTGAAGTTCTTTGCTGGGGGGAAGTACATGCCTCTGCCTGCACCTGTGCTAACTGACGCCATATGTCGGGGTGTTGGCTAACTTTTGACTGTGATTCCTAGAAAACAGTAAGCTGCCTTCATCCACGATACTGTTGCCACACCGCCTCACCCTCGTAAAGCGAAACTTAGCTCTTAATGACTTTCTAGGCACTAACGTGCCTGATGCGATTTTAAGCACTTTGAATTTCCTTGTTCATGAGTTGCCTTGCTTGCCATCGTTTCTTTACCGAGGAGCAGTGTCCTCTGTCACATGCATTTTGTTTGGTTTATGACAACATTGCGTTCATAGAAAAGAACTAAATGACATCAAAAGGAAGCAGCTTTTCAAGAAAAAACAGACAAAAAAGACAAATAGCATCGGCCACTTGTCTATTTCATTAGAACAAGAATAAGGACCTTATCCCTCAGCTTGGGCCAATGAAGAACTAGAGGAGAGCCAATGATAAAAGGAGGTCACCCTCTCCAGGAGCTGTGCTGAATACCAGAAGAGCTGACAGGTATGTACATATTGGAATGTGCTTCTAGCTACACCTGTGTGGAACACACCCACCAAACCTGGCCTCTCGCATCTTACAGGCTGATTTTGCTCGTGACTGACAGCTGAAACAACTATTTGGCTCAAGTCCTCAGAAACCAAGTGGGCAGGTATGGTGAGGTCTGAGTGTGAACCAATAGCAGTGGAGAAATGCCTGCTGGCCAGGCGGGGCTGCAATGAAATAAAACTCATCAATGGGGTGTGTCTCAAGTTTGTCAGCAGTCAAACAGTGAAAGGCTAGTGCTGCTGGAGCCCACTTTGACTGGTTAAAGCCAAACCAGTCCTCTGCAGGGTGAGGATCCGAGGAGCCAGCAGAGATGGGCTACAAGTTTGTGGGCTTACTGAAGGAAATGAAACAACATATCTGATTCGTGAGGGACCTCTGGATTTCGGCTTCCAGGATTTGACTAAAGCAGAGAGAGCCTTAGAAAACCCTTGATTTGGGCTTTTGAAAAACTCTGTTCTAGCTTTCAAGTCTCTGGACTAATTTTTGCTACAAAAAATGGCTTTTATCTTCACAGCGAGAGAGTTAACTCATGATGTCGTGGTACTATGGTCGCTCACATCTCCTTATCACTTTTCCAGCCCAGCTATAGATTCTATATCCGTTGGACGGAGAACTGATAAGGGCATGTGCATGACACTACCTACTGATACTGAGGAGTCAACATCTGAGCCGGGGAGCTTGATGGGTAATTGAGCCATTTGGTTCGTTATGATCATGTTTTACGTGTTTTGCAACTACATCACAAAACGTTGTTAACTAGAACTTAAAGTTTTAAAATGCTATTGAGAATTAAATTGGTCTTCATTCTAATGTTGGTTGTATTGCCTAATGTCTTGTGATTTCTCGAAACTCTTTTTCAATGATTCAATGCCTTTTTTGGGGGGCCTACCACAGAGACATTTAACAAAAAGGTTAATTGCATAGCTAAAGTACTGAGGTGTGGTGTCGTCAAGCTTAAAGTTTAGAAACCGACCTGATGCAGCATGACAAGTATCCTCCATGACCTGAGCACTGAGGATGACACATCTAAGGAGAGGACAAAATGAAGTAGGTAAACTCCAAGGTGTTACATATTTTCATTCCGACAGATTATTCACACCCTGGAACTTTTCACATCTACTCTTTAATTACAGCTTAGTAAGAAGACTGTAACAAAGAATTAAAAAAATTGTACAAAAAATAAATCCAAATCTGATGTTGTGCGACATTAACTTGTTTTTTGTATAAAAGTATGACTGGATGTTTGAAGTGCAAATACGTGAAAATCCTGATATGAAAAAGTTCATTGTTGTCATTCAAGTTTGGCTAAATTGCTCTTTTTACTCAAAGTATTGTCTCTAAATGTGCTGTAAACCTCATATGAAAACCTGATAGTGATACTCTACAGATATAAATATGAAGATTCTCTGCGTTGTTATCCAGTTGTAAATAACCAGAAGAAAAGTCACTTTTCAAAACATTTATTGCCAAAATGTTAGTGTTGGTGGCTTCTTCTACATTCTTTTGTTCATATATTTAACAGACAAATTCACACAGAGGAAGTTTCAACTCAAACGATGTCGATATGAAAACATCCTCGTCGTGCATTACATGAAAATCATCTCTAATGTAATACACACGCACACACACACACAGGGGTGCTCTGTAAGCTGAAGTGTCTTCTGGGTTGACCGGGTACATCCTAACTGCTCTGAGCCCCCGAGGCGTCCACTCCCTCCCTACACCTGGTGCCGGATCATCTCTCCTCTGAAGCGTAACAATCCTTTCATGGTTATCAGGACGGGGGTCAAAGGCCACTTCCTTTATGTAACACTTCGGCCCTCCTGATGCACACTTTACCTTTAGCTTCCTATGATTTCATGAATGTAGTGACTTTAAGCTGTTAGAAAACAATTAAAGCAATTCTGCTTTTTTATGCCATAAATAAAAGTGGTCTTTCAAACCTTAGAAGTGTCTTGTGATTTATAGAAAAAAGTAATTGTTATCGCTCACGCGCATACTTAGTGGAAATTAAAACAATCAGAGGAAATGTTAAGAATAATTACCTTATAATACCATTTTTGGATTACATACAAAAACACAGCATAGGTAAATATTTAGCATATATATTATAAAACAAACCACCAAGGTATAAAAAGCTTTGAAAGAATAGTGCAAAATGTTGTGCAGCTCTTCAATAAAAAGAATCAAAATCTTAATTAGCGTAATGGCCCTCAGCATATGACACAATGATAATGATACGAAAATTCATTATTATTGTTTGATCCATTCAAACAAGGCTGCTAATGCCATCACCAGGGAAGGGCAGACAGACCCGGGTGGCTGCCGTGTTTAGGCCAGACCGACCATGGACGCGCTGAGGTCCCACAACTTCTTGGCAGCATCGTCGTCCAGAGCTTGTGGCGCCGGCGTTTTAGGGGCACAGTCACTGTACGGTGAAATAAATGAATAAGAAGGGAGAACATTTACAAAGAGAGCAAAAATAACATAATCTATTACTGATAAATCACAAATGATTTTATTGGAAACAGATGTGCTCTCAAACTAATCTTTTAGTCAATGGAAAGTTTTCATTTACAATGGACAAATGTTCATAGAGAGAAGAATATCTTACATGAACTATTTGTGATAAAAAAAAAGCCCCCCAAACATAAAGAGTGATCAGAGATGTTCATAGAAGAATGTACTTACCTGTAGTAGAGGCCGCTTTCATTCGCCACATTCTCATCAACAGCACAGTAGATGGTGGTTTGGGCTCCTTCCCAGGGATTTTTTACAATCTTCATGAAGACAGAGGCTAAAATCCTCTTCCACAGAGCTAGGGTGGGTAACAAATAACGGCCCAACTCTGTGCGGATGACCCCGGGGTGGAGGCTGTACACGCTCACACCGGTGCCTAAGGAGGGGGGTCAGTCAAGTCAAATGTCAGCTGTATTGTATGGAACCCTGTACTGCAGTTAACAGTTCGTATTCTGCATTGAAAGGAACAGATGTCTACAGCACACTACCTTTCAGTCTTGCTGCCAGTTCTTTAGCAAACAGAACATTGGCGAGTTTGCTCTGGCGGTAGCTCACTTCAGGTTTGTAGTCTTTATCCAGATTAATGTCATCAAAGTGAATGTGCCCTGTAGGAAAATGTTTGCATGTTCAATAAGCACAATGTACACTTTTTAAGAGTAAATACATAAAATCATGTTAGGTAAACGAGGAGGAACAGGAGAGCATTGAGCATGTATTTGATTTAAGTATCAACACATTCTTTTTTTTATTTAAAAGAAGTTACCTCTTTCGTGCGCCAGGCTGGAAACCAACACAATGCGACTTGGAGCCGACTTCTTCAGCAGGTCAAGGAGACAGTTGGTGAGGAGAAAATGCCCCAAGTGGTTGACTCCAAACTGCATTTCAAAACCATCCTCTGTCTCCCATTTAGGACACATCATGATACCTAACATCAACAATGAAAACCCCAAAGCAACATTGATTAAATAAACTGAGGCTAAAAGCATTCATTCTCTCATAGAAGGGATCTTTATGGTAGTCTTGCACGTTCACTGTGTATCTAAAGGAGTAAAGAGAAAAAAAGCTGTGAAAGACCTGCGTTATTGATGAGAATGTCAAGGCGGCTTTCTGTCCCCTGGACATCTCTGGCCAGGTCTCTGATGGACTGCAGCGAGGCGAGGTCCAGCTTCTTTACTACCACGTTTCCATTCCCACTTTTTTGTCGGATCTCATCTGCTGCAATGCGGGCTCTGTTCATGTCCCTGCAGGCAAGGATCACTCTCGCTCCTACAAAAATTCAACAAACGGTGATAATGTAAAGGTCTGTGTGTGCAATCCAAATAGAATTGTTGCACTTTACTACAGAAAATATATGGCAACTGAAAGAGGCAGTATGCTTAGTTTAATGTTGAATTATTATAGTGTTTATTGAGATATGCTTCACATTTAAGGGATGCTGGACATCACCGGATAACAAAATGCATTCCCCCAGAGGCTGGACTCACCTCTCTGGGCCATGTCCAGGGCCGTCTCCTTCCCAATGCCAGTGTTGGCTCCAGTGATCAGCACGGTTTTGCCCTCCAGCATGGCCTTGCTTTTGCACACTCCTCCTGCCATCCATCTTCGCAAGGCTAGCAGGCCTACCCCTGACATAAAAACATCAGCGATGTCAACAGAAGAATAACACCTCAAACAGAGAAGAACACTTGTTTTCTTTTTCATTTAATTTGCATTTCCATTAATCTAACTCATTAAATCATAGTTTACTTGTCCTTGTTGCAGTGACGTGGCCATCTAAAGGAAAATTTGATACTGTCCAAGAAGGCTTGCTAAAAAGATATTAGAAATGGGCTGAACTCTTTACAGTTGATGTCTGTGTGAATACATTTCTGAACTATAGCACTGTAATGGCTGCCTCTATGATGTGGACCTGAATTTCAGGTTTCTCTCCATGTACTTACTATTTAAGTATAAGTTTTAATGGGAAGTCTCACCAGCAGCTTTCTACCTTATAGTAACATTGTGTGTCCCAAAACCATTTAAAACATTGTTTAAAGAATATATCGTCGGTGTGGAGACGCTTTACCTGTTACAAGGGCAACCGTGAGACCAGTCGCATGGTTCTCTGCATACTCCTTGATAGCATCTGCGTAGTTTTGCATTTTAGGCACTTCGCCAACTAAAATGAGAACAGTTCAACAAAATAACAAACTAACAAAGTGACCAAAGAGGTTAACTTGGAACCTCTAAGGAGTTCGCTAGATGAAAAAAACAAACAAACACTATGAAAACAATGCAAACTAATGTTTCCCTTCAACACTTCGAGCAATGGTATTTTATAACTTGCAGCCGGAAATACACAGCGTGCAGTCACAGGGATTTTCAGAATAAAACGAATTTGCTGTCATAACTAATAATTTTTTCAACATTTGGTGCTACGATTACAATAAAATGTCCTCTATTGTAGAATACAAAGAAGTAGTAGAATATTTTAATTCAAGCTTGTCTGTCCTATCTGTCTTCTTCTGTTTTTCAATATTATGCGTGTTTAAGCTGACGTTCTTAGAACCAGGCGGATACTGTATAATGCCAAAAAGCATGGTGCTTTTCTTGGGCCGACTGCAGGCAGAGAAACTGATAAATGAGACAAAAAAACAGAAAATGACCCATGAAAAAGACGAATAATTATTTCAAAATTTCATAGACATGATTGTGTCATTTGAGTGGATTTCATGTGTTTTTCATTTATTTTGAAAGTTCCAACACCGCTCTCATTCCGCATCTGTTGCGGAGTAATTTTTCCTCTCGCGATTTTAATTTACTTTAAATTTATTTACCAAAAATATGTTTTAGTTAATACATTTTTAGTTAAGTATTGTTTTCTTTTAACAATTGAAGGCTTATTGAAAAAAGAAAAAAAACTGTACCGGAAGTTCTTCGAGCTCGCGCCACGTCAGAGCTACCCAATTGTTATCATCAGTAAAGCAGAGTGGGTGTCCTGTGCAGCTGAACCCCATCTTTCTGGCCTCACCATGCTTTACTTTGGCCTCGGCTGCATCCTGCTGCAGGTCTGCCTGGCGTCCGGCACCGAGCTCACCTTCGAACTGCCCGACAACGAGAAGCAGTGTTTCTACGAGGAGCTCGAGAAGGACGTGAAGTTTGACTTGGACTTCCAAGTGAGTCATTCTCAAAGATTCCTCGCATCCCTGTGTGTCTGAAAGATTCTGTCAAACTAACCTTTTAGGTGGGAACACTTATTGTAATCATATTAATCCTAATTTTGGTTCTCAAAAAGTATAGTCAATCCACGTCTGTGTGTCTAAAATGCCTTATTTTTTCAGGGTAACATAGTTGCATTGGGGAAAATACAGGTCAATAAATTGCATTTGAAGGGATAATCATTGAAAAACAAGAAAAGGCGTGTTAAGGTGTGACAGCTGTCTTCCAGCCAAATGATGTGCCTTTCTGTTTTCATTGCCCTCAGGTCATTGCGGGAGGCAACTATGATGTGGACTGCTTTGTCACAGATCCACAAGGCAACGTTTTGTATAACGAGAGGAAAAAGCAGTACGACAGCTTCTCCCACACCACGGTGATGAGGGGAGTCTACCAGGTCTGCTTCAGCAATGAGTTTTCAACGTTCACACACAAAGTGGTGTATTTGGACTTCCGCAACGGAGACGAAGAACCACTTCTACAAAGTATGACCAGAAGTACAGCACTTACTCAAGTAAGTCTGAGGGACGCTTTGCTCGGGCTGAGTGGAGGCAGGGAAAGTTATACAAGAAACCCAAACAGAAAATGATGCATTTCAATAATAATGATGAGAATTTTTAAATTTAATAGACCTGATTAAGTAACTCATATTAAGTGAATTAATTATATCGTTAATGGTTAACATAGCTCCACTGTCTCATGTTTTTAGAATGGTTTTGGTGGTGAGGCACTTTAAATAAAGTCCACTGAGTGGTGAATGTTAGTCCATATTCATTGCAGACTTTTATATACAGTGGCAAATTATTCTTTGTAGATTACCGGCTACAAATATAAAAACACCCAATGTCTGGCCGTGTTCAAGTATGCTGCTGCAGAATGAATACGGCACTGTAAATATTAGAAATCGTATAGCCTCCAACGTGATTTCCTAATCAGAATGTTGAGCTTGGACATAGTTTTTGCTTAATTTACTTGATTCAGATTACTTTAATTTAGCTTTAAATGAAGTTGAACAACACAACCTGAGTTAATCAGAAGTACCTGATATCCCTCGTCAAATTCTGTCGCCTGTGCCTGACTGGAAAAAAAAATGGATAACAGCATTTCCATTAGAAAAGTGCTGCTAGTCTATATGTTAACTGATGCAGTGAGTACAGCCTTTCGTTAACTAAACAACTATGGCTGCATCACACCAGCAAAACTAAGTAGATTAATACAACTGAAATTGGGTTCAAGCAGTAACACATTATGAAAACCTGTCAGGACAGTGGTGTAACGACGTCTTCAAGGAGAAAAGTGGTCAGCAGAAAATCTTAAAATGATATGAACAGACAACAGTTCAGTATGGATCAAGATGACCAGGAGAATGTGAAGAGAGCATTAGATAAAGGGCCTAATCAGAACTGTAGCTTTAAGGAAACCTCTAATCAGTCAGGCCAATAGAAAACAATGAGTGCAGATTTGCCTCGTTCCCAAATGGTGAGTGCAACCACACCATCAGGTCCCATTACAATACACGATATAGGCCAAACCATTCACGTCAAACTAACGGTTTCATTAATTGCTGCACCGAACATTAAAGCCTATAATTTGCATTTACATCAAAATGTGACATTTAAACTTGACCAAATGATGGGTGTGCTGGACACAGAGCCCTTTCCATTCTACAGGCTGTAGGGAGATACTTTTAGGCATAAAAGATTTGAATCTAAGAGTTTAGAAACTTGGTCAGTGATTCCAGTTTGATGTGTAGTAGATTCCTTTGAATATTTTTCTGCTTATCTCAACTTTCGGCCCCAAAATTCTTTAAAAATGCAATCTTTCTGTTTCAGTTGGAGTCGTCCTGCGTAGCCATTCACGAGGTCTTGAAAGTGGTGGCTGACTCGCAGACCTGGTACAGGCTGAGGGAAGCACATGACCGCGTAAAAGCAGAGCACCTCCTGCAGAGGGTGACCTACTGGTCCATGGGAGAGGCCGTCCTGCTGTTTGTCATCGGCATCGGCCAAGTCGTGATGCTTAGAAGCTTCTTCAGTGAGAAGAAGGGCTCTGTGGTAGCGGCCACTTAGAGCTCAGGGGTCCTCATGCGCCCTCAGGTAGAGACATCAGCACATACTTTAGACCTTGTCTTATAGAACCTTCAAGGAGCTGTTGTGTTCCCGATTGCTCCGCGTGTCCAACAAACTTGAATAGCTTTGTCAAATATGTTACATTTGGTCAACAACCCAGGCTGAGAAGAACCCCAACTCAAGTGAGGATACTTTGAACACTGAAGTTGATATATTTCAACATTTCAGTCACAATGATAATTGAATAAATGTACAACGTAAGCCATGTTTAGTTTGATCTAATTATTTAATGCCCTCTGTTTCACAAAGTCAGAGCATTGTAGGCATTCCATTTTTTAATGTCCACTGCAGTGAAACTTGTGGCACATAAATGGAAGTTGAAGAGGCACTGCTGTTATTTTTATTTGTTTTATTATTGTCTGTTCTGTTTATTTTTTATCAGCTTTAAGAACCGTGCCTCTCATGGCCATGTTATTTCTCACACAAAGTGCCTTAAAGTGTATTTTCCCCTTTGTCTGCCAAGTTACGGATTCAATTCAAAAGCATTTCATGCCGTTACTGTTTGATTGGATTATCAGTTTTAATAAATGTATTTCTCGTTATTGGACAAAGAAAAGTTGATGACTATTTTTGCATCAAGTACTGTTTTCAGACTAATGGGTTTGTAATCTGGTATTTTGTCAATAAAACTGGATGGAACATTGTAACTAGAGCTGAGTAGATTGCCTTAATTTAATCACATCACTTGGAATCTGTTGGTTAGGGTCGTACAAAAAGAATTTGTACTGAAAAAGCACTTAGCTGTCTGCTAACTTCTGTTCCAGAAAAATTGTGGTTGAGGGAAAGTTGACGAGAGAAATGTCCTTTTTATTCTCACTTTATTTTAAAGTTTTCTGACACGGTTAGACGTGGTTAAATAATTTCCCAGGTGCTTGTAAATGCATCATAGGTAAGAGGTGAAGCTGGGACTTGATGACCAATCAGAGTGAAGCCTCGTGTGGGCGCTGACGTGGGTGGAATTTACTACCACCCACGTCCAACCCGCCATGGTTACTCTACCTGCCTTTGCCGTTCATTCATAAGGAAAGTGAGCACGGTGTCAGAGGCTGAGTTAAGAGTACTTTTTCTTTCAACTGCACAAATGGCGGGCTACCTCAAAGCTCTGGCGGCCGTGTCGAGGACGGCGGCCGCCGCGGTGTCCCGGAACCCTGCGGTGCTTTCTCCCGCCGCCGTCTGCCACCATCACAGACTGCAACAGAGGAAGTGTAAGTTAGCTGTCCGCCAAAGCCACCGGAGCTGTTCCCCACGCCGGTGCCGGTGCGGGTACGGGTCTGTGCGGACGAAAAGAGCGTTGTCTGGAACAGTTTTAGTCACTCACGCGACACCGGGACGGGTCAGGAAGTCTCCGGTTGGCAACGAGCCACTGGTGAATCACACCTAACGGAGAGCAGGAAAAACCACAACCACGCTGCTCCAAAGCGCTTTCGTTTTTTATTTAAGTGCTCACTTAGACGTGTTCGTGTGGAAAACTGCTGGAATTGAGTTCAAATGGTTAATGCTGTTTCTTTATAATTCATGAGTTCTATTTAAAGGGTGGCAATTTCGTGCCAGTCTGGCTCCTAAATTCACGTGTCGTCAGGTAGGAAAAGGGCATGAGTGATAATAAATGCTGATAAAGCCCTCATATAACCCCAAGGCCACTCAGTTTGACAGCGAGATTTTTGTACATGTAAGGTTTGCTTAATATTTCCTGCCCTCTGTGTTGCCTCTTTCAAAATACTCCCATGAAATGTCTGGTATGAAACAAGCGTTTGTTGTTGTCTGAGGGGATTCAGAGGAAAAGGTCACTTCACAGACAGTCCAGACTTGCTGATTAGCTTCCCTAAAGGCCGAGAATCACAAATCCTCAGATCCAGTCCTGCCCCTTTGAAAACGGAGGCCTGCTACTGAATCTTTTGGAGATGAACTAACAAGAGATCAATAAAAAAAAAAGTTAATCAAAGTTCATTTAACCACTTTTTCCAGATTCAACAAAGCGTATCAAGGTGGACCAGCCGGTGGTGGAGATGGATGGAGATGAGATGACTCGCATCATATGGGAGTTCATCAAAGAGAAGGTAGATCTAAAGGCTCTGGGAGGCGTTAGGGTTTCCTCAGCCTGGGGCTGTGGTTGGACTTTACCACTGAGCAAATATATAAATGTTTGGAGCCAAACAATTATTTGAGCACTGTGTTTTTTAGCGTTCCTTTTCTGTGTTGTCCCTGTGCAAATAACACTCCGACATCTGCGTGCACAGCTCATCCTGTCCAATGTGGATGTCGAGCTGAAGTATTTTGACCTGGGTCTACCCTTCCGAGACCAGACAGATGACCAGGTCACCATTGACTCTGCTTTGGCAACAAAGAAGTACAATGTGGCCGTCAAGTGTGCCACAATCACTCCTGATGAGGCCAGAGTGGAAGGTGAGACAGACTCCAGTGTTAGTAGATACTGGCTGTGTTTTCTGTCCTCCCAGACACTTTGGAACCTGTTAAATAAAGCTGTGTAGAAACGTGTTTACATCCTGAAAATAGCCGAGTGTCCTTGTTCCAGAGTTTAAACTGAAGAAAATGTGGAAGAGTCCCAATGGAACCATCAGGAATATTCTGGGTGGTACAGTTTTCCGTGAGCCCATCCTTTGTAAAAACATTCCCCGACTCGTTCCCGGCTGGACGCAACCTATAACAATTGGCAGACATGCATTTGGAGATCAGGTATTCACAAAGAGAATTGGAAAAAAAGAAAGGAGTGAGCACATGTTCTGTTCATGAATAAATCCGGACTTAAAGAGGAACCATCTCACTTTCCAATGTTCTCCCAGTACAGGGCCACAGACTTTGTTGTTGACAAACCCGGGAAGTTTAAGCTGGTGTTCTCCCCAGCTAATGGGGGCAAGCCACAGGAGTGGGAGGTGTACGACTTTCCTGCAGGAGGCTGTGGAATGGGAATGTACAACACTGATGAGGTACAGACAGTCATTCTCTCATGTTCTTGTTCTGTGCTGGGCTCTGGTTGATATCTGGACTTTCTGTGGCATCGTGTTTGCACAGTCCATCAGTGGCTTTGCTCACAGCTGCTTCCAGTATGCCATCCAGAAGAAGTGGCCCCTGTACATGAGCACCAAGAACACCATCCTCAAGGCCTACGATGGCCGCTTCAAAGACATCTTCCAGGACATCTTTGAGAAGTAAGATGGCAGATGTTCGTCCAGACTCTCCGATTGAAATCTACAATGGGCTGAACTTTTAATTTTTGGAGCTTTTGCTCTCCATCAGGAACTACAAGCCTGAGTTTGACAAGCTGAAGATCTGGTACGAGCACCGGCTCATCGACGACATGGTGGCCCAGGTCCTGAAGTCCTCCGGAGCATTTGTGTGGGCCTGCAAGAATTATGATGGCGACGTGCAGTCGGACATTCTGGCTCAGGGTGGGTGCGCCCCCGTTGAACGGCGAGCACGCGGGCACGGGGGCTCATATTCACCCTCCGTCTGTGTCCGGGCGTACAGGTTTTGGCTCCCTGGGCCTCATGACGTCGGTGCTGGTGTGTCCCGATGGGAGGACCATTGAGGCCGAGGCTGCTCACGGCACCGTCACCAGGCACTACCGCGAACACCAGAGAGTAAGGCCAGCCGGGTCAGCCTGCTGTGGGAGGAGAGAGTGATGTGTGTCCCGCATTCCTGTCAACTGGGACCATTTTAACTCGATTTAGCAAAGGAATGGGCTGAATTATTCAGGGGTTCGACTTTGTGTTGGGTTTTCAGACGCCGCTATGGCAGTCAAAGAGGATGTAGTCAAAAAGCTTTTTCCTGAGATGCTTTAGCCAAACCTACCTGCTATGAACTGTTTCATAGCTTTTTAAATGAGCAACATTCTGTGTTACTGCTCCTTAGGGTAAACCAACCAGCACCAACCCTATTGCAAGCATCTTTGCATGGACCAGGGGTTTGGAACACAGAGGGAAACTGGATGGAAATCCTGATTTAATCAAGTATGTCAAAAGCATTTAGTCTTGACATAATTTTTTCCCCCCCATCACTGTTGACCTGACGTGCTGTTTCTCTCCAGGTTCTCTCAGACTTTAGAAAAAGTCTGTGTTGAAACGGTGGAAAACGGCGTGATGACCAAAGACCTTGCAGGCTGCATCCATGGCTTGGCCAAGTGAGTGTGGATTATTTTATTAATTTAAAAAAAAAAAGTTTCCTATGCATTTCTTTCTGACCTGAAACCTGCGTTGTGGCCCTGCAGCTGCAAGCTGAACCAGCATTACGTCAACACGTCCGACTTTCTGGATGCCATCAAGACCAACCTGGACAAAGCTCTGGGCAAATGATTCACCATCAGGAAGCACGCTTTAACGGTCATTAAGCCAAACACGGTTGGAAGATTTGCGGACTCTTTTTACTCTTTGTCTGTGGGAGCCATTTTACCAAAGTTTGCCGATTTGTGCCAGTTTTGTGCCTTACATGGTTGTGCCTGTTTCTATTCCTTTCCAACTGACTATATTGCACTATTTTTTTTTTGTATGACCAATGTTCATGCAAATGTTAACTTAACATGATATTTTCATATAACCTTTCACCTTGAATTAGACAAATCAGTGGGAAACGCTATGTAAAAATTTGCACTATAAAGTTTCTTGTGATCATGAATAGAAAACTGATTTATTGGTTGTGAGTTGAGAACAATGCTTAGTTAATTAGCTGTCAGAACAGATTACCCAGTAGTTTGGGGTGTGGTTGTGGGGCTGCGGGTGAAAGGGGGGGGGGTTTAATGCATTACCTCACTGGGGCTTCAGCCAAATTACAAATCCAGATGTGGAACTCAGGAGGTGGAAATGGCTTTTCGAAAGCTGTCGCCCCACAGCTCCATTTCATATACTAATTTCATGCCCTTGTGCACATGAGCTGCCATCTAGCAGTGCTTACATACGGCGCTGAATGCTCATTTAGGAGTCACAATATGCACCTCTGCAGCGCGACAGGGAGCAGGTTTTGCACCAGCAGGGGGCTGTGTCTGATGGGAGTTTTAGCATCGTTGCATTGTGCTGGCAGATGCAGCCTCTCACCAGCAGATGTCGACAAAATCTGGGTTAGCCAGATTAACACTTGGTAGTGTTTTAATTCAACACTCCTAAATATACTTTGAAACTAGTTTCTTTCCTTTTCACTTCCTTTTTTTGTTTGTTTTCACGTGGTTTCTGACTGAAGCTGCGCCATCAGATTACTAGGACTAGCTGCTCCCATCCGTTCATCACACTGAATAACGGCTGTAAAGAATTCAAACATTGCCTATATGAAATATGTCTCTCCTGATGGATTTTCAACCATTTGAAGATGGAGCCTGCAGAGAAATTAACTTCCCTCAAATGTCAATGGAGAATGAGGAAACTGCCTTCTCCAAAAAAGACCAGAAATTAGCATTTAGATAACCTCCATTCCAGCCTTTTGAATTTCCTCCAGGAGGAACATTCCCCTGGAAGTGCAGTAGGACATCCCACCTAAAGTAATATGCAGCCTTAACAGAGCAGTTTCTCTTTGAAATGACTTCTCTTGGAAGGACAATATGGTGCCCACACACAGCAAAACATCCACAGGGCAGCCGGCATAAAGCAGCCCATCACCCCTTCGTTTGGTGTCAACTAAACCTCAGGATTTGACAGGTGCGTCTCAAAATGCCCACACAGACTGTGACCCCAGCATGTCGTACACGAACATCCAAAAATCAAATCACATTGTGACCACAAAGGAATATATTCAGATTTTCTTCCTCATGAGGCTCTTTTCGCATATTTAACTTTGTTAAAACTCATTTGACTTTCCAAATCTTTCAAGAGGCCAACGTATGAGCCTTTTGACCCGGCCCTGCGTGAGCACTTTTAGCCTTCAGTAAGTACAATTCATCCCAGGGGTCATGCAGCTTGTTGAGAATCCAGTTGCAGCTCATTTGACGTCATCCCGAAAGTGGAGGGGGAGAAAATGTGAGCACGTCATCCAAATCCGCTGGCATTCATTTACCGAAACCATGATTTCATGGTTATCCGTCTGAGAGTTCTGACGTCTAATTAGGGAGTGGGGGTGGTGGGCTGAGCAGCCGTCGCTCTGTGAGCCAGAACCACCGAAAACTTCACATTCTGAGGTATAATCCCTTCTACAGTGACGGATTAAAACAACCACATTCATCTTTTAAACTAGAGGACCTTTATTAAATAATTCATGGTCAATTTCCATGAGGTCTCAGTTTAATATTTCTCATCTCAAAAAAAGAACTAGTAGACCATTCTTCTGGTTTAGTGTGCATATCAAGGCTGACCTGCATGGCAGGACAGGGGGAGCCCAACGTCATCCCTAATGCAGAATCTGAGGAGCAGGGCCGGTGTCACTCCACTTTTAATTCAGCTATTTCAAAACCAATCTAAGCTGGACTGGTATATAATATACTTTTACCTCTTAAGCCTACAGATTATTTTACATACTCATTGCTAATGTGTTTTTTTTTCTCCAAAAGAAAAGAATAAACTGAATTAAAAGCAAAGTGGACCCAGCGCTGACAGGACAAACAACAGGGAGCCTAAAGCTCTGAGTCTCCAAACAAAATGCTCACTCCTCAGCTCGTACACCATGTGAACAGACAACTGTGAATACCTATATCAAGTAACCTGCTGTTTACAAAAAACCAAACAGGATCGGAGATCTGCTCGAGTTTGACAGGATTGCAAATAAGGGGGTTTCGAGCTTCTCTAATCTAATTTCCCCCTGCTTGTCTCCTCTGGGCAAATTAATTCACGCCAACTGAAAACAGCCTTCATAGGAAAAAGAAAGGTTCCAATGGAAAAGTGCTTTGTATTTTTTACTTGGTGGTTCAGAAACTAGAGCGGTGCATTCGCTGGGAGGCGTGGATCACTATCCGAACCACCTGGAGCCACGCCGACGGTCGCAGTGACAGGGCCTCACCGGCCAGCTATCACATCTTCAGGTTTAGAATGACCACCGACGGCTAACTTTGGTGGTGAATGCCCTGCTAATGAAAGAAAAAAGAAAAGAACAAAATGCATTGGAAGCGCATTGAAACGTAAAAAAACAAACAGCTGGGCAGCAAAGCTTGCCTTCAATTACGAGCTGTTACGAAAGAGCGTTCAAACCTATGAATATGTTGTGACTATGTCTCAAAACTTCCACAGACGGCGAATAAAATAGATGCCCCGGTGGAGCCCGAGTGGCAAAATGCTTCTAGCTGGCACTTTTAGTCAGAAGGGCGTACGTGGGTTGTGAGGAGAGAGAAAAAACAAAAATAACATGGCAAACAATACATTTCTATCACATTAAATGTAACCAAAGGCTCTGCGACTTTCTTTTTTTTGTTTTTCTTTGAATAACTGAAACGTACACACAACATACAGTTTGACTGTTCATCAGAGAGCCTTGGAGTCTGTAAGTGAAGTCCTCCTGTAGAAGGAGCTCCAGGCCGTGTCAACACTTTCAGAGTCTCGGCAGTGGGAGACAGAGTCACAGCGTCCCTCCTCCCAGGCCTGACCCTCCTCCCGTCATCGTCCTCAGCGCCAGTTGTTCTGGAAGGAGGCCAAAACTAAAAGAAGCCACTTTCCCAGAGTCTTCCAAAGCCTCCACAACACTCTGTAATATCCCTCAGGCTTCATAAGGGGGAAAAAAAGAAAGAAAGAGGAGTAAACGTATCTCTGGTCCACTGACACTCATGGTGTAGTGTAGCTGTTTGTATCTTTCCCAAAATTGTAATATTCCTCCATGTCGTCCATGTTGGCTGTGGTGAGTTTAGTGAGGTTTTGGGAGCCACCATTGTCCATGCTGTCTGGTGATGTAAAGCTGAAGTTCTGGCTTTCGTACTCCCCCTGGCTCTCCATCTCTGGAAGAACTTCTGCAAAATTAAGTCATTTTTATCATGAATTACTTCCTTATAGGTTTTTGTCTTGAATTATTAGCATTAAGACACTTTTTAAAAAATATATAAGTGCATTAATGTGTCAATTGTGTAATGGCGAGACAAGCAAACAGCTTCTCTGCTTCTCTGACTCATTTCTGATGATGAATTTAGGTTTGGAACAAAATAATGTGTCCATGCAGGGCGGCGGTTCACACTAGGCTAGAATGTAGATTCAAAGAACCTTTACTTAATACTTTTTCAATTAATAGAGGGTGATGGGGGGTTGGGGGGCTCACCTTGTCCCTCTGGAGAGACGTCCATTCCGTGTTTAACCTTCATGTGCCTGCTGAGGTTTCCCTTTAGGTTGAACTTGCTGGTGCAGTAAGGACACTTAAAGGGCTTACTGCCAGCGTGGAGATGCATGTGGCCCAGCAGGTTGTACATTCTGTTGAAAGACTTGCCACACACCTGGAGAAGGTAAACAAACACAAACGAGAAGGTAAGTCTCCATACATTGAAACGCGCTCCTCGCCGGTGGAGCCTGAAAATCCGGCCAAGTGGAAACAGCTCCCTGTCATTTCTATGAGCTTCTTTCCATCCAGTTTGGGCAAAGTCCCCAATTTTAGAGCAGGAATCTTCTACTGCACCAGCTGCTAGCTCGTCTTTCCATAATCCTGATGCACTTTGTAGGAAAGGAGCTCTAAAGGCCCACTGGTTGAAATGCTCACCTTGCATTTGAACGGCTTGACGGGCAGGTGCACGATCATGTGAGTCTTGAGGGTCTGCTTCTGGATGAAGCTCTTGAAGCAGACGTGACACTGGAACGGTCTGACGCTGTTGTGGATGAGCATGTGCCTCTTCAGGTTGGCCGACAGGGTGAACTCTCTGGAGCACACTTCACACTTGTGGCCTTTCATTCCCTGCAGAGCGCAAACAGAAAAAAAAAAAAAAAACAGTCAAACTGATGGCTGCAAATGCTAACAGCAGAGAATTCCTCCTTCTTAACTGGATAACCGTCCTGTGTTTTCTGCCCCTGAAAAGCAGCTTGGCAGCTGCTCCTGAGTCTGTTCCATCAAAACAAAAAAAAAAGAAACGGTGGAGATGGAATTCTTTTGCCTCACGTTCCTCTTTCTGAGGGGGCGGAGACTCAGTGTGTGTTAACAATTAAAAATAGAAGCAAAAACCTACATTCAGTCAACTGTTCGTTAATGAAAAAATATTTTACTGGGACTGGTATGGAGAGGGCCTCTGTTCAACATCGCATTCGCCTGGAACGACAAAGCTGTACAACCGATCTAAAAAAAGCACGCGGCCGTCAGTCAGGTGGCTCCCTGTTTCCCCTGAACCGGGCTGCTGTGTACAGAGGTGTAAATGCACGGTTCAGAAGGGAGCTGGAGGACTCTAATCCTGTGGCACGTTAACTAATGCATGTCACAGATGTTTCACTAGTCCTCTGGAAACTGTGTAAACCTGTCGCTCCGGTCCCTCTCAAAGAAGCATATTTTTGCATCGCCGAGTTTCCGACTATGAGAAGGGCCCAAAAGCAAAGTGCGTCCTTAAGTCTTTACCCAGCCAAAATCAAGGTACAGGCGTAGCAAAACGCCTTCTGTTGTGCATCAAGAAAAGTTAAATGTATTTAAATCCAGCTTTGCATAAAAGAAAAGCCTTATTTCCCGAAAACACATAATATAATTGGGCTCTGTGTAACTCTTCCATTTTTTACATCCAAAGGAGAAGTTTCCCAATCAGATAGGGGAACCCAACATATTCAAATCTCTAGTTTAATTTTCTCCCAAAAGAGATGCAAGTGATTAATTTGAGGGAGCATTTAGAAGGTTTGGTCTAAGAGACAGAGAAACTTAGGCACACTTATATTGATATTCTACCCAGAGAGCTAGCGCCCATTTGTCTGATTTTACAAAAATCTATGGCAGCCATTTTAAGTGTACTAAAAAGATACAGTAGGAAGACAGCCCCTTTCCATCCATCTTTATTCTCCCTCTTTAATATTTTCGACCGCGAGCCACAGGAAACATAAGAAGCAGGTCGCAGGAGCAGACAGCTTCAGATGAGAGCTACGCTTCCTTGTTGTCTCTGGTCGGCGCTCAGAGTCAGCTGGTCACAGTTTGGGACAGACTGAGAGGATTCTGTTTTAGCGACAGAGACAAATATGCACCACGCGGGCTGTCAAGAGACAGTGTTTGTGCGAGAAAGCTGATCTGGCAGACTGTCCACCCACCGTCTACCCGGCAAATGGGCGGTGCTGCTGGTCTCCACCAGGGGGAGCAGTGCAAAGACCGCAGGGACCCGCTGACCAATAAAGGAGAAGGCTCTCCACCCAGCACGCTGACATCTCTGTGTTCCTCTTCCTCACCTGATTAAGTTCAGAGCAGCTCTGGGGAACTTGCCAATTACAGATATTCCAATTAGAGCGGGACTGAGGAGCGCATGAGGATGCTCTGTGGAAATAATTCCCTCAAGAAAAACAAAGAAAATAGTATTCTCCCTCTTTTGGGCTATTTGAATGATGAGGTGAAAGGTCTCGTGCAAGGAGGCGTTGTTATCATTTGCCTAAGAAGGGTAATTAAAACCTATTTTCAAGGAGAATTCAGACAGTTTCCAGAATCTTAAACAGCTTGGAACTGTTACTATGCACGAACCTCCTTCAGAGCTAGGAACTCAATTTTCTTGATGAAGTCCCCAGGACACACGTCCTGGAGCCGTCTCTATTGAACAGCGAGCAGGTGATTAACTGCTGAGAGCAATTTCCTCTCACAGCCTCTAATAGGACTGCTCTGAGGAGGCAATTCTATTGACAAAAAAGTAGGAAAAAATGGTCTTATCTGTCAGAAAAGCAGAAGCTTCTTTTTTTGTAAATCCAACTTTTAGTCAATTCTTATATTTACCCTGCAGGCTATATTATTTGGAATATATGGAGCATCCTACTGCTCGTCTCCCCCTAAAAATACCAAGAAGGCTTTATAACAACATACAGTACATCTAACAAAAAGAGCTCTCAATTGTCAAATTCAACCAGCCTCCCTTGTCTTTTTTGGATGTTTCTATCTTAGTTTTACCGTCTTTCTGTCTTTAATTGAGCAAAGAGTCTGTCACGTCTGTAAACGGAGATGTCAGGACGTGTGATTGGGAGTTTCGGAAGGCCGTACCTTATGGGTTAGCGAGTGCTGGCGCAGGTGGTGGAGCTGCACGAACTCCAGGCCGCACTGGGAGCAGGTGTAAGGCCTGGGGCTCTGGTGCTTCAGGAGGTGGTTCTGGAGCTGGCTGCGGTAGGCGAAGGACTTGTTGCACTCGGTGCACTGGAAGGTGTGCGGGCCCTGGTGGCTGGTCTGGTGGCGCTTGAGGTGGGCGTAGGTGGGGAACTCCATGCCGCACTGCGAGCAGACGTGGCAGCGGCCGCGCTCGTGCTTGACCTCGTGCGCCCGCAGCTCGCTGGGGTAGGCGAAGCCGCGGCGGCAGAAGCGGCAGCTGTAGGGCTTGACGTCGGTGTGCTGCAGCATGTGGCGCTTCAGGTGGCTGGTCTGCGTGAAGCCCTTCTTGCAGACGGTGCACTTGTGGGGCCGCGTGCCCTGGTGGGTCAGCAGGTGGGTCTGCAGGTGGCTGGGCTGCTTGAAGAGCTTCCCGCAGTGGGGGCAGGCGTGCGGCTTGATGCCGTTGTGGCCCAGGATGTGCGTGACCAGGTTGTACTTGGACGTGTAGGACTTGTCGCACATGCGGCACTTCCAGCGCTTCAGCCCGTCGCCCACGTCCACGCAGTACGACTCGTCGATCTGGATGTTGATGTCCAGCCGGTCGACCCGCCGGCCGCCGTGGCGGCGGGGCGGCTGGGGGTGCGGGGGCTGCTGGTGCGGCGCCCCGCCGCCGCTGGCGGCGGCGCTCCCGTCCGCCCACATCATGCTCTGGCTGCCGTCCTCGTACTCGCCCCCCATGCCCATCTCGGTGGAGTCGTAGCTGCCCACCTCGCTGGTCTGGAAGTAGCTGCTGATGGCCTCCTCCTGCTGCGTGGGCTTCATCATGGCGTTGCCCTGGTGTTCCACGTCCTCCTCGTCCTCTCGGCCGCTTCGGCCGTGAGCCCCCATGGGGCGCTGGGCCTGAAGACCTCTGTGGCCCTGGTCGGCTCCCCTGTGAGCCACCTGGGGCGGGGGCGGGTGCACGTGCGAGTTGGGTGGCTGCTGGCCCGTTGCCTCCCGCTCACACTCGACGCAGTTCTTGTTGGTTCCTCGGAGAGTGGCCGGATCCACTTGAACCAAGCCACCTCTGGGAGCCATATTGTTCAGCATGTGGATGCAGGAGGGCATTCCGGTGCTCACCCCTTCCCCTTTCACGTGGGACGAGGATATGTCGGCGCCTTGAAGGCCGTGGCGGTCTGGGAGGACCATTTTTACGTCCGGGTGCTGAGGGGGGCCCTGTTGCCACCGCCTCTGACTGCAGCTGGGTTGCATTTGACCGTCCTCTCCCAAATTGTCACCTAGGTAATCTCCGTTTGCTCCGATAAGCTGGTCGGCGTACTCGTAGTCCACTCCGTCTACTGGGGGGGCAGGGGACTCTTTGGGTTCACCGGTGTAGAAGCCGTTGGGTGCAATGGTAGCTCCAAATACTTCATTCTGGGAGATGAGACCTAGCACGGCGGCCTGGGCCAAGGACAGCACAACTACAGGATCTGTCTGTGTGCTAATGTCCACCAGCCTGGCCATTACCTTGGGCTCACATCTACCCAGGCGCCGGCTCGCCTCCTCCTGAAACAGAACAGGACATGAACATGTGAGTCAAGATCCACGCAACTCAAAAATGGAAACGCGAACAAAGCATCTATCAAAGATGTAACCATCACCAGTTATCTTATTGACTTGGCGTTCACAGCACAGCAAGACACTATTTAGGCAGAGAAATTTTGAATATTTTGGCTACAAAACACTGTAATTGAACAAGAGAGATGACCAAAACGAAGTTGAAAAGAAGGAATAAATAACTTTTTCACACGCAGCATCTGATCAGTGTTTTTGGTCTCATCTTCAAGAGGTAGAAAGATTTTTAGGAATCATTTATTTCATCACCGAAGAGGATGCAGGATCCAGACATTTCCTCCCGCAGAGACAAACCTATTCCCATATCAATCTCTCTGATAAAAGTAGTCAATCTGAAAGGAGGCTGGCCTGAAGCAACGCCTGAGATCTGGAGACTGAAGCACAGGAACTCTGAAAGACAGCTTCCTAATCCAGCATGCTAACCATGTATGGCTGTGTGTGTGAGTTGGGGAGGATTAGATGGCCCAGCGATCGCCACACACACACTGAAGTGCAAGAGGGGAGAATGAAAAAGAAATTTGATCAAGATTAAAAAAAACAAAGCAAAAAAAAAACCGGGAAGGGGGAGAGCCGACTAGAAACGAGGAGAGAGAAGAAAAGAGTGGAAAGGAGAGCTTAAGCCAGACAGGAGACTAGAGGGGGGGAGAGAAGAAAACAAATAAAACAGAAAATAAAAAGGTTGTAGGAGAGTGAAGGAGAGACAAGTAGAAAAAGGGGGTGGGCAGGAGGAAGGCTGAGAGACAGAAAGACACTGGAGAGGGAGGGAAGGAGGGAGAAGGGAAAAGAGTGAGAGGGTGAGTGTGAGGCGGAAGGCAGAAGAGAGCAAGAGGAAGAATGAGAAAGAAAGATATGTAGAGACAGCGGGAAGGAGGGGAGGGAGACAGAGGCTGCGAGTAACCTGGAGATGGAGGGAGAAAAGAAAATGAAAGCCAGACTCAGGGAAATGTGAGGTGAAACGGACACAAGTGCAAAAGACGGGCACCACAAACAAGAGTTCAGCCCAGTTCACGCCTCACATTACTCCTAATTTGGGACAAATAAGACATCCACCAATGACAACTTTACCAACAAAGAGGATCAGGCCGGAGTGAATGCGTCCCTCCCCACAGCTCTCCCTGGAATCAACCCCCCATTACCCCCCTCCCCAGAACCCAGCACTCCCACATGCTACGACAGAGTTACCCCACTCACCACGGTCCTCCTGCTGTGAGGCTTCAGGTGCTTTAAGGATCTCATTCTTCACTGCGAGTGTTGAGTGAGGAAGGCTACGTCCCCCCTCCTATTTATGTGTGAGGGATGAGGAGGAGGGGGCGGAGCCAACATGATCCTCCTCCTCATCCTTCCTCCTCAGCACAGCTTTACTAGTGACTCTGGTCACACCAGCGCACACGCAAGACAAACAAACAGACCGACCGACAAAACACTCCTCCGAGAGGAGCACGTGGCCAGCCAACACATGGCTCATCGGCTCGCACGTCACCCATGTCTTCTTCACCGCCTGCTAACAAATGGGCTAAGTCGCCTGGAAGTCAACACACGGACGACAAAATAAAAGCAACATCATATCACTGTGGAAGGATGGCTCCATCAGGCTGCCTCCCGCCTCACTGACCCTCCTGTCCTCCATCTGTCTGCCATTCTTCTTTGTTTCTATCTCTCTCTCTCTCTTCGTTTCCTCCTCCATCCACAACTCCATCTTTTTGTTTGTCTTTCGCCTCTCCCCATCTTTCCCTCCTGCATCTTCCACTTTATCTCTTTCTCGTTTATCACGTGAGGTTTACGAGTCGGCCAAAGTGTTGTGAGAGTGTCTTGTGCACAGACCCGGATCCGAGTGCGTGAGGGGAGGCAGAGCAGGATGAGGGCAGGGGTGGGAAGAGAGAGGAAGAGATGGAAAGGTGACTGACAAGGAGATGAGCAAATGGACGAGAGAGCAAGTGAAGGGAGGTGAGAGCGGATGGAGAGAATAATTGAGGAAAAGAGGGGAGGGGAGAGAGAGTGAAAGAAGGAGACAGAGGGGGATGGGAGCAGAATGCGGTAAAAGAATTAGAAGAAATAGATTATGGATGATGGATGAAGGGAGGAATGAGACAAATGACCACAAAGATCAAACACCAGGGTGCACAGAACTTCCATCCCATGACCGGCACCCCCTCAGCAAACCAGTGACACAAAGGTCAAGCATCACCTGCCAGTGGTGGACCTGAGGCCGCACGGAGGATGCAAATGGCTTCTTTCTAAAAAGGGAAGCTGGGTGAAACTGACATTCATCGTCTAATTTTTCTGTATTTTGAAGTAAGGTAAGAATATACAGGGGGGAGGACACGACTGCCTGCATGCTGATTTCCTTTGTCTTTCACTTAATGAAGAACAGAGATTATCTCCTTGTGCTGATTGCCCTATGTGTCTATACCTATTTTATAAAAGAAAAAAAAAGAAAAGAAAAAAAAGACACCCTGCCTTAAAAGTCATTGAGACAAGTTCCAGGAACAACGAGTGCCAATGTGAGTTCAGACTCACAGCCCTAACGGCCCTGCTACATGGATGGGAATTCATCTGTAAACAAAAGACAAAAAAAGGAGCAAAAACTGCCAGAAGGCAACTCACAGGCTGTCAGTTGTACTAACAAATGACCTGTTTTTTTCCCAACATTATGTGGACTGTATGAACCTACTGGCAGGTTAAAAGTGAGCACACAGACAGCCTGGTGAGGACACTCTACATTCTGACACTCCATTGGTTTAAAAGTTTAAACAGAGTGGGGAGAAAGAAAAAAGCACTGAAATAGAAAACAATTCTAGTAAACATGCCCCAAATTAATGGAAATCAAGTGCTCTTATTTACCAACCGAAGAGCACACACATTTTGTATGGGAAATAATCCCGTTCTGGACGGCATACGACTCGGCGTGGGTGACAGGAAGCTGCCCGAACGGGGCAGTTAATGCCGGCGTACATTATTAATGAGACTGTGGGCCGTAGTGGTGACTGTGGAAGGTCTGTTCTCTCCACTAAACACTGCTCACACAACATTCATGACACAGCATTCCCTTCCATAAAAGGGACCTTCTTTCTTACATTCTGTTTCCTGTGGACCCTTCTCTTTTGCATCGGTCATTTTCAAACCGGATCAAAAGATTTGATTTGGCCCAGTCAATCTCAGAGACAAATTTTTTGTGAGAAAACTAAACCAAACAGAATATTCCCCCATGCGCATGGTATGCCGAGGGGCGAGACTTCAGTTTCAACCAGAACATCCTCTGCTCCCCTGAGTCCTGTAAAAGGTCCAAGATTTAAAATATGACCTAGCATGACTCAGGGAGCAATTCAAGACTCTACCCACAGTGAAATGACCACCTGAAACTAATAATCGTCCCTCTCCATCAACTGAAAAAACAAGACACCTTCCAAACAGATCTACATGTGAGAGTGCTAAAAGATATATTTTTAAAAGACTATGTTATCTGTGAAGACCGCATATGATGAAAATTAAACAGAAAGCAGGTCAAACCAGCCAAATCTAAACAAAAAGGAAATCTCTTAAAGTGGTGAAGTCTCACCAGTTTGTCAAAGACAACCCAGAAACAATCCAACTTAAGTCTTTGTTTGTCCGATTTATAAAGCACTTTAGCTCCATCACAACCAAAAGCTGAAAGCAGGTCAGTGCAGAGAGCAGCCACTGTTATTATTACAAACCAGTCCTTTGTTAATCTGTGAGCACAGTTTTCAAATCTTTGCACGCATATTTGCATGGTTGCTTTTGCCCAGCTTTAGGAAAACACTTGCAAATGTCATTTTTCCTCATTAGGTTCCTACATTTGAAAGGGCTGACCGGCTGATGGGTGGATATGAAGGCCATGGAAGTGAGGGAGGGAGTCTCACTGTGCCCCCAGTCCTCTGCCATGTGCCCACCCTTATCAAAGCACCACTTTCTCATTCATGTGCCTATATTCATCTACAATAAATGGCGGTCCACCTCTACGAGTCATGTGAACGATCACACCGTCAGTTGGCTGCTGGTAATGGATAGTAGAAGAGTGAAAGTATTAATTGCAATAATTTGCTTGGCGATTTAATGGTCAACTAAAATGTAATAGCCGATGCTGCCTAAGGCAGCGACTGCACACCCATGGGAGTCCCATCTGCACACACAAACCCAAACAGTGCCTGTGATGGGAAATTTGATTGCGTTGGTTCGTAAACTGTTAGTTTTATAAAGTGAAAAAAAAGGCACATGCAATATATTAGGCGCTTTTTGGCCATGCCGACACTTTTTCTGGTTCAGACGATCACAGAAAAGCTGAGAAATACTGTGATAAACCGCCTCGCTGCACCGTGGTTCTCCGCAAAAGCACTTGTACAAGAGACATTAAGTCACAAAAGACATGCTTTGCGGTGGTGCTTTTGCTCGGGGGAAGTTTTCAAGTTAAACCAACTCAACGACGAAGGAGGCCACGTCCAGCACTGGTAGCTCATTCGGACTTCTTTAAAAGTGGTACAAGTCGTTTTTATTACACCTCACGCAGACATGCATTTATACTGCCGAAAGACCTACGCACACTGAGCTGTGGACTCCTAGTGTTGCACTATGGAAGCAGCATCTCCCAAAGCCAGAGATGTTTTGGAGCTCATAGCCGACCATGGCTGCACTGCAGGGCACTACTGAACTGCCCATCAGATCTAATGGCTGCCTCCATAATGTACATATTAGACCATCTGTGGCCAAGCTCCTGAAATGGACTGTCCAGGGTGGACCCCATCTCTTGGTCAATGGGGGCTCCGGTCCAACAGCAATCCTGAGCTGGATATACAAAGTATAGAAAACTGATTGATGATTTGATCGTGTCCATCATGGGAGAACTGCCTATAGCAGAAAGTAGCCAAATGTACATGATGCCAGACGAGGAGCAGAGTGGGGACGGGTGTCCATGTTTGAGCCCTTTACATGCCGTCAAATCTGTTGAGCAGCTTCAGGATCTGCAGCGGGACTGATGACGTCACCAGAGCCCGACAGGTGAGGCGGACACCTGGGTCATCGCGCTCCCCCACACACACACATACACACACACAAACACACACACTGTGATCATCGCTGTCATTTCAGAGGTTGTGTTGTAGCCCTACAAAGTGCACCACTTGTTGAATACGTGCAAAGTAGCTCCAGCTTTGTGCCAGAGGGAGTGGACAATTGTGCCTCCGTTAATGTGAATGGGTGCTGCAAACAGCACCAGAGCCGGTCCGGATGGAGAGGCAAAATAGGCTTTTCTGTTCCTTTCAACCCCTGCCAGGTTTTTCTTTTTCCGATACATGAAACTGTTTTTTTTCTAAAATAAAGTTTGGGTCATAAATGTCAGGGAGAAGCGTGGTACACAACAGGATAGAGAGAACATGGAGGAAAGAAGGAAAGAGAGGGAAATGGCAGAAGACAAAATGGGGGGCGTAAGAGGAAGCAGAGAGAGAGAGAAAGAGGGAGAGAACAGATGATTGCATGGAATGAAAAAGGGATTGAAGGGGGAGGGAGGGGAGGAGATAAAGGGAGCAGGATGGGAGGGGGAGAGTGAGCGAGCGAGTGAAATGGAGGAGAGAAAAGAGCGAGGGAGAGAAAAATGAGAGGCAGCAGTGGGGGAGGGGAGGATGTAGAGCGAGAGCGAGACAGAAAAAAAAGATAGAAAAAAAGAGATGAGACAGGGAGCGACGTGAGAGCGAGGCAGAGAGGGAGGGAGAGGCAGTGTGCAACGTGAGAGAGGAAGAGAAAAAGAGGAGTGGGAGGGGTGAGGCCTGATGGAAAGAGCAAGAGAGAGAAAAAAGAGAAACGTGGAGGGAGGGAGAATGTAAGAGAGAGAGGAGAAAGAGAAAGAGGGGGAAGGGAAGAGAGCTGGCCAGAGAAAAACAGAAAGAGGCAGAAAAAAAAAGAGAGAGAGAGAGAGAGAGAGAGCACAAAACCACCCTGGGTCTGGTCTGTGGTTTCATAAACATGGCTGCAGCCAAAATGAGGAAAGGCAGATTTGGTGCGGTGGGTTCCCGTCTGCTACCACACACTCCGCTATCGGCAGCATCAGGAAGCCTTCCCCATGTTCAGCACCGGAACACCCCCCCACCCCCACCCCCCGGCCTGACCCGGCCGCTCGCCCCGCCGATGTTCCAGGGTTCTTGCAGCCCCGAGACCCTGGCTGGCCGGGGGCGGGGGGGGGGGCTATCGGCAGAAAGACAGATGGTCCACATAGCCCGGACGCAGCCCGT